TGGCTACCCCCAACCTTGTATCTTCTTTCCAACCATTACCTCCAGGAACCCCTGTACTTCTTAGTCCAACCTTTTCCCTCCTGGGACCGTCGTCCCCCACCAACAGACCACCAACAAAATCACCAATTTCACACACATGGCGACACACGCCTTACCCAAGAAATACGTGAACCTGACACACAGGTCACACTCCATAATCACGTCATGGCCACCACGAGGACTGCTGCAATACCTTGGTGACTAGTGTCCCATACCACTAATCGTGCAATCCAGGTAAAGCCACACACACCACACCTCAACAGGAATCAATCAAAGGATTGCAATGAAGGTATGAAACATACTCAATCAAGGAACGGGTCACAGCCCAACAACAACAACGATGAATAACACAAGTTATCATCAACCAAACGGAAGGTACAAACCACACACACGCTAGTATTAAGACAACAAACTAGCATGCTTATCAACGGGGAAACTCAAGATAGTTCCGAGGAACACACAAGACACCTCTTGGTCCAACGAAACACAATGTTGAACACTTAGCACGATTCAAGACACCAAAGTCCTACATGGATACCTACCATATAGTTCTAGACGTACGAAACATCAAGAAGACACTCAAATAGTTCCACAAAAGAACATCGGGGAGCCAAAAGATCAAATACCAAGACAAACAAATCACGGGGAACAAATCCCAAACGAACACCATCGTGTTCCCCGCGGGTGGACCCACGGGTAGTGCCCCACCCGTGGTCCCGCCCGCGGGTACACTACCCCACAGGCCTATGTACCCGCGGGTAGGCCGGAGGGTAGTGCCCCGCCCGCCATTCCACCCGCGGGAACATCCCTGTTCCACAACAAATCCCTTCGGGAATTTTCTTCTCCAAACACAAATTCAAGTCCAAAACATGCCAAATCTCACCAAACACAACAAAATGACTTGAACCATGGAAAATGCCAAGCAATGGCACAAAGGAACCCTAAACACAAGCTCTAGATATGCAATATCACAAGATAGATGCATAAACCCTCACATTTCATAGCAAAACACAAGTAGAATCCAAGAAATCACATATAGGTAAGCAAAATAGGTTTTGTAGAGCATGGGTTACCTCTTGAAGACCAAAAGACTTCACTTTACACCACAACAAGCTCTCCACTAGGCTCACTTTCCAAACCCACTTCAAGATTAAACCAAAAGATCATAAAGATCCTACCTTTAAGAAAAAGACAACTAAGATGGAACCAAAAACACAAGACAAGCTTAGATCTTACCCTCCTAGATGCCCAAATAGGTGAAAGGTTGAACCTTGGAAGCAAAACTTGGAATCTTGACAAGGGTCTCAACTTGGCTTGAAGAATAAGCTACACTTCTTTTCTAGAGAGAAGGTAGAGATATTTTTCTAGGAATTGTAAGGAATGAAATGAAGAAGTCTTCTAGGTTAGGTTACAATACTAACTCTTGGTGAAAAGACAAGGATACCCTTACTAACCCTTAGAAAGTGTAAGGAACAAGGGAACTCCCCTCAAAGCACAAGGTACAACACAACTTAAAGGTTGACTAGTCAAATTCTAGTCCTTGAGTATTAAAAATCAGGATTTTAGGAATCAATTCCTCAAAAGATTTAGAATTAATTACTCAATTAATTCATGGATTGAAATGTGGATTTTTGGGGTGTCACACTTAGATTCTTTAATATATTATTATTTGGGTTATAACTTGTGTTGCAATTGTTTTTATATTGTTGTTGCTAGTAGTTAAACGACCGTAATTACTTGTTTCGTTTGCTTCTTTGTGTCACAACGGGAATTGTGCATAATTTAGCGCACACACAATTGCACTTAATTGTTGCACCTTGAGAAATAGCAAATTAGTTAAGCAATAATTTAATTCTTGATTATTGCACATCGATCGATAACTTGTACTCCGAGTATTATTTGTTTGAAAATATACTACAATCAATTCTCTTTCTTTCTTTCTTGCTTTCTTTCTTTCTTTACTCGTGGGCGATGTAGGAACTTCACCACAATGTGAATGGACCTATCTGGGCTCGACATCTAGCCGGCCTAATACTCGTCTCGCCCACAGAACCACTCTCTTGGTTCTTTTCTCAAACTCTATGGAATCAGGTATCGTACTTGTCAGTGTGTACACTCCCTAACCGGGATTCCAAGCCCAGCGGGTAATATCCAACCTAGTAACTCGGGAATATCGACCTTGTTACTTCATATAGGATCGCAATGTCTGTTTCTTTCTCAAGATTTCTTTCTTTCTCTTTTCTTCCGAAAGGACATAGTCCTAACGAGCCTCCAAACCTCAAACTTCTCACAATACTTATATATAGATATAATTAATGCACTTCTTTCTCATGCAACAATTTATCTTATGCAAGCTCATGCACATAGTTTCTCAACAACTTCTTTTCTCACAAATTGGAAATCATACTTCATGCAAACTTCTCAATGTAACTAGATAATAATTTTCCAAAATAGAGATAGATTTTTGATAGAAAACTTAAGCTTACTAAGAGCCAATGGTGCACTGTAAACCATGAAATACTAGTCATGCTCTTTTACTGTAAAATACTCTTTATTTCTCTTTCACTGTGAATCAAGGCAATAAGGTACTATTTCATGCTTATAACTCAACACTTAGAAAAATTTCTTAGCAAATACTTAGCAAGTAATGATCATGCTCTTTAAGCTCAAAATATACTTCAAATTCTAGCAAAATCTCTTTACTGAAAGCTAGGAATTTCATGTACTGGACTTATCAAATTCTCATAATCTTTACAAAACTTGTCAATAAATAACAATAAATACTTAGACATGCTTTTCAATTAAAACTATCAAATAATAAACATGCTTCTTTGCTCAAATAGCTAAGCTCAAATACATCTATTTTTCTTCACTGTAAACCATTTACAGAAAACAACAAGAATAATTCTCAACACAACTTCTATTGTAAAACAAGCATTTCAACTCCGAATTCAACGAAACTAACTTCTACTAGTGCGTCATAATAAACCCGAGTGTCCGAGTCTCAAGGGCCCATCCACGAGTCCCGATCTAAACGACACGTAGCTGAGCCACAGAGGGTCCGACCAGGAACCATTTTGGCTTGGCGGGGCTTGAGAAGCCCCACCACTTGGCTCCGCCAAGCGGTGACCCTTGGCGGCGGATCATGCCTTGATCCGCCCCCTGGAGCCATTGCTCCACGATGCTAGCCGGCGGAACTCCTCGAGGTTCGTTGGCTAGTACCGTGAGGCTATCTGGTGCACAAGACAGTGTGCACCAGAGCCCTTCTCTTCACCTGTAGACATTTTTAGTGCAAAACAACACTCCCAAAACTTCACCAATCCATCATGGATTAACAATATCTCACAAATAGCTCAACCACAATAATAATCTAACATTTCTAAGCATTTAAGCCTCAATCTAGCCATTCACAAAGTCAAATAATAGTTGGGAGTCCATGGGTTATACCTGTGTTGCTTCTTCTTCCTTGTGTGGATTCCTTCTTCTTCCCAACTCAACCACTACCCCCTTCACCACCTAAATACCTCCAACAAGTCAAACAACAACACTTAAGAGGAGACCTCAGAGGTTTGAAGCTAAAGAATGGAAGCTAGATAAGCAAAGGATGAATGGATGAAATGAACCTAAGAAACTTACTGTGTTTCTCCTCTCTTTCTTGTAGAGCTCTTGGTTAGGAGGACAAAGAATGGAATCAGGAGGAAAGTTGGCTTTTTATTGCTTTTATATGGGTTCAAAACCCTAGGAGGATGCTCAATGATTGGTGGAGGGCAAAGTGGTCTTTTGGTTGCTTCCCAAAATATCAGACAAAGTTTAGAAAGACTTGTGGTCCACCTTGCTTCATGGACCAAGGTCTAGAAAAGGTGTTTTTAAATAGTTTGGGATCAAAAAAAGATTTTTCCAAACATGTTTTCTAGATAGACACTTGGTTCAGATTTCTAAAATTTCCCCCGATTTCACTCAGATTGACTTTTGGGTCAAAACTTGGTACATACTGTACCCGAGAATTTAGGATTTTAGAAATAGATTAAATCTCGGTGCTGAATTTATTTAAAAACGTAGCTCAAAACAATTAATTTAAACACCGTTTTCAAAATAAAATTTTGGAAGAGTGAAAAATGGCTATTTTAAAATTTTAAAATAGGATTTAAAAAATTAAATTTTGGGTTGTCACAACGTATTTGTTGAATCCGTATTACCATTATAAGGATCCACAACTTCACTTAGATGAAGTTGTAAGTGTAGGAGTTATTGAGTTCGGTGATACTATCTTCTTAAATGATATTGGCATGTAAAACAAGATATTAAGTGAAGAATTGTTGAAATATAAAAAGAGAGTTAATGTCATATGGGGTCCTCCGAGTATAGTGGTTTTCCCACGTTTAGTCTTATACTTTCAAATTGACCACCATTGGTTTCTCGACTTTCAATTGTTACCATCCATGGTTCAAGTTAACCACCCATAATCCTTTTAACTTTCAAAATTTAACCAGCCATGATCTTCCGGCAAGGACCACAACTGAATAAAATTTGATAGTTGAAGGACCATATGTGGTTAACTTGGACCACGAATGGTAACATTGAAAGTTGAAGGACCATGAGTGGTTAATTTAAAAATTTAGGACTAAACGTGACAAAAACACTATATTCGGAGGACCCCCATATGGTATTAACTCTATAAAAAAAAAAAAGAAAAAAAAAGGAAGGAATATTTGGAAGATCTATTGCAATCAAAGTATGTGAGGTGAATGATGAAAACTTTGATCCTAGTAAGTAACTAAGTACTTTCAAATAAAATTTTCAAGTCTTTAATACTTTATATATGTATCGTTTTGAAAATTGAGGAGTAACATTTATACCATTAATAATTCAGAATGTGAGACATTGATAATTGACATATTATGAACAGACATAAATTACAATTTTTTTATAATTAAATCAATTAAGAATACGACACACGACGTCGTGCGAGAAGGCAAAACCACGAACACGCAGTTCAAAACAAAACAAAACAAGCCCTAACGTTTTCCGACTCAATCTTCATCTTCAATCTTCACCGAACGAGAAATTAACTGAAAAATTGCTCATCCAAACCTTCACGAGTGCAACAATGGCAGGAAAAGAAGTTCGAGAATACACTAATCTTACCGACCCTAAAGGTTTGCGTTCTCATTCGTTCATTCCTTTGCTTTCTAGCACTCTACCTACCAATCTCTATGAAGTGTTGGATTTGTTATTTCTGCTGTTTGGATTTCGTCGAGATAGAGAGAGAGTGAGAGTGAGAGGGAGAGTTGCATCAATCTCGTAGACTAAAATTTGATTTTCTTCCAACAATAAATTTTCAGATAAGAAATGGGGGAAAAACAAGGACAAAATAGATGACGAGGAGATTACTTTCCAGCGCATGGTTGCCAAGGTTAGCGAATCCTGCTTCTCCTCCCCTCCGGCTTTTAACTTCAGAACAAAATTTACAGAGTTTTAATAAGTTCATCAATGTAATTTCTGCTTGGTTAAAATTTTACCAATTACAATCCATTACTCGGTTTAGGTACATGATGATTATGGCATGTTCTTTCTGCCCTTTTTTTCTTCTTAAAAATTCAACTACTATGATGAACCTGCCTTTATAGAACAATCTGCTCTTTTGCTGAATTACTAGCAATTAAGGTAAGATAGGAGGAAAAATTATCTACCTAATGAAATTCATGCCTTTATAAGGATTATGGAAGCTTACCTTTACCTGGGCAGTCTCTATAATTGAAAGGTTTTTTATACTCTCATTTAATTTAATAATAATAATAATAATAATAATAATAATAATAATAATAATAATAAATAATAATAATAATAATAATAATAATAATAATAATAATAATAATAATAATAATAATAATAATAATAATAATAATAATAATAATAATAATAATATAATAATAATAATAATAATAATAATAATAATAATAATAATAATGATGATGATGATGTAACAGTGACACAGTGTAATATTTTGATGAGGTTGTCTGGAAAAAGTAGTAAATCATATACAATCTAGGAAAATGCTGTAGCAAAGTCTTGGTTCTGTTACATAAAATGGGGAGAGATATCAAGACCAACTGTCAGGAATCTAGGGAGTGTGTGTGACTAAGATGCCAATACAACTGTTCCACTAGTGGATGGACTGGAGGTAATTTTCTGGAGAAATCCACTCAGTGTGTTGCTGTGTCCTTGGTTGATGGTGTACTTCAATTCATATAGTTTGTAAATGAAGGCATTAAAAATTTTAAGGAATTTCTGTGCAAATTTGAATTTGGGTGAATTGAAATAAAACTGAGTGACTGAAATGAAAATGATGCAGTTACAATTAGTTGATGCTGTAGCTTGGTGATAAAGATTAGATGCCATAGACTGTAATGTAGAATGCTAGATCAACTGTAGGAAATGGAAATGTAAATTATGAGCGCAGAAAGAGCGGAAGAGAGAGTTGTTAAGTAGAGTTAATAGTCTTTATGGTTAAAGAAGCTAGCATAACCTAATGAAATATGATTTTACTCACACACATACATGTGTGTGTATTGGATAGGTAAAATGATATCATCTTTGGGGCTAAGGATGATATTTTTTTCTTATAGAAAGATGATATATTAAAGACTAGTGAGTAGTGAGAAATAATGAGTAGCTACAAACATACCAGACCGTATGAAAGATGTTCAAATTTGTCCCTTATTGGCAAAACTACACAACTACCCATACTGGATTATTGGCATCACTCATAAATGTTTTTCAAGTATAGTTAGGAGAATAGACAAGACTTCTCTAACATAGTGCATGCTACACAAGGAGAGTTTAATATATTTGTTTGGTGCAAAAAATAGAAAACTAAGTTACGCAAAGATCATGGAGTCTGGCTCTTATTTTCCTGGAATTCATTCATGTTAGTGGTCAAGTTCCAATGGTAAATCACTAAACCCAAAGGTTTTCATATTGATCTCCTGATCTCCATCCACTTAACTCTAATTAAAATCTCTTTTCTAAAATGACCGTCTTCAAAATTCATATTGAAAATTTGCTAGAGGTGGAATTAAGGAAGTAATAAGTGTAATGGGCTAATGGCGAGAAAAACATTTTTGTAGTAAACCCATTAATTGCTTCTCTTACACAACATATTTTTTTACCTTATCCACTCCAAAATTAGGAGCTTTGCCAGGCACAAAAATGTAAAATATTGTTTCAAGGTAGAATGGTAGGTAGGTGTAAAGACTCTTTTTCAAGTTGATTCAAATTAAAGTTTTTTAAATAAACAATTTTTTATCAGGAAGTGGTCACCTAGGCCAAATAAGCACTTATCCTATCATTGCAGACTTGGAATTCAAAAGTCCTGATAGAACAACCCCCACCTTTTTCCTTTAGCAAGGGAAGACAAATTTTAAAAGTGGGATGAATATTTGAAGATTGCTCAGTTTTCGTTGATTTTGTGATTTCCAATATGAAATTGCAATTCACTTTTCTTGAATATAGTGAGTGAAAAAATTGGTTTCTTTAACATAAGTATTTGGTGGGAGAAAAACTCAATCATTTTGTTCTTGGTTTCAACCTCTATTTGCTCAAGTCTCACATAGCCTTGTTGGTTGTTTTTACTGAATTTTGATCCAGACAATTTTATTTTTTTTGGTATAAATGCAACATTGTTCATATTGTACACTGTGTTTGTCTCTACTTATATTTGATTTATTTTTGTACTAGTAGTTACTCTAAGGGAAGAACTATTTATTTAATGAACAAGTTGCTATATTTCCTTTACCTTCATAACAAAAGTATAGAGAGGCAAAAATTCTTTATTTTCTCTAATACGATCTCTGATCATTAAAATGTCTTCCCTTTTTCTCACCATAAAGTGATCACACATGGAAAAAGTGGAAGAACCTTCTAATTATTATGGTTTTCCCCTTATTCCTGCTAACAGAATAGATATAGTACATAAGGCAAGGGGAGATGGAAAAAGTATATTTTGATCAATTTCTTTCACCACTTGGAAGTATGGAGAAAATTATGTCATATATCAATGTATTGCAAGTAATACTTTGTATGAGTTAATTCATGATTCAGTCCTCAACTATGTAGACAGATTTCTATTTAATTTTTGACAAATAATTTGACTTAATTTTGCTCTAAATTTTAGTGATTGTGCCCAATTTAGTCCTCCATCTACAATTCCATCTCATCTTTTATGTGAGGGCTAAACGGTAATTTACTATCCTCCAATAGATTTCTTCTGTTACTAATTCTTTTTTTTTTTTTTTTGGGACTCCATTGAAACTCTTGTAAACGCACTTAGACAGTTCAATGGGGATTTGGATGTTTAGCGTCCTGCCTAAGTCTAGTAGGCAGTAGCCATAGCAAAACCAGTGATTGGTAAACTTTAACTTTGACAATTCCACTGTTGTCAAGATAGTAATTTGTCTTTTAGTTCTCAAACTTCATGGAGATAAGATGCAATTGGTAATAGAGGACAAAGTTGGGTACAACCACTAAAGTCAATGGCAAAATAAGGTCAAATTATTTGTCAAGGACTAAATCAGGAATGCCATTGTAGTAGAGTACTAAATTAGGATTTAATTCTACTTCGTATCTAGGCAGTTTTTAAGTAGTACTTCCTGTGTAATATGTGTGTTCCAAGTGGACACCTTTATCCTAAAGGCTAAAGGGTATTGTGACTAACTAGAAAGGAACTTGAAACCTTTTACATTGCTTGGTTTGGTAGATGAACCAAATGTCAGACTTTAGATCATGTTGAACTCTTCTCTTTTGGAGGTAGCTGGCTTTCCATTTTTAGTGGTAGTGGTGTTATTTGCCCTAGTCCATAATGTCGATATGTCAACGTTAAATGTTGAGAAGTGTTCTGATAACATGCCCTGGCAGGGATCTTGGCTTCTCCTACCGGGCACTTGATATGTTCAGATGCAAGAGGTTGCTGGAGAACGTGGAGGCTATCTTCATGGACGAGGCGGTATTTATTCTCACTCCCCTCTTCTGTAATTTGTTTCTATATCTTCTCCTCAGCCCTTTTCTCCTTTGCCTTTTCTAGAACACGTGTGGTTAAGCATCGAACATAGATAATATTCATTACTGTTTTTTGAGTGTATCTAAGTTCAAATTTGCAGCCCTGGACAGTGATGACTTGCTTTATCTCAAGGAGCAGATGGAAGCTGAGGAGGATGCAGAACGCCTTTTGAGGCGCACTGAAAAACGTGCGTTTGCAGCATTCAAGATATCCTTCTCTATTGTTTGCTTCTAGAAAATAAAAAAAAAATTAAAAATTATTTCTACAATGCCATTTAAAATGATAAATAAGGAACCGGCTTGCAAAACCAGAGGAGGTGATCAAATGCTCTTTGCAAACAATTGAAGTTGTCATATATGCTTTGTGGATTTATATGTAGACAAATATCATGTTATGTTAACACGGTTCTACCATCTTCTACTCCCCTTCCTCTTTTACTTCATCTTTAGACTGTAGAAGAATCCTCAAATCTTTCATTTCTGGTGATGTTACTGGTTGCTTCTAATTGGGTTACATAAAAACTTGTACTACACTGTCTCAGGCAATTCAGATGCCATATGTCCATCCATTAGAGTTGTGGCTGTTAATTTAATTTCATATAGTGCATGCCGTTTTAGTGAGATACGTTTTGTTCAAATGTTGGTTGATGTCAATTAAATATCCTCTGTGCAAGTCATCTTGTTGACTCAACCTAAGAAAGCAAAGAATTGATGAACATTTTTTTTGCGGGGTTTATTTGCATCTTTAACCACTTTACACAAAGCTGTAGCTGACTCTTCACCAGCTTCAGTACCCCTTCCACTTCGTGTTGAGCCAAAGGCAAAGAGTGGGATCAGGTATGAGCGCCTCTTTTCTTTTGCACATTCTTTTGTTTATTTATGTATTTATTATTTCCTTAGTTTTACCGAAGTTGGAGGACGTGCTACGACATTAACATGCATTAATGTAAGATCAATTTGGTGGCTAACAGGCAGCAAGATTTACTGAAAAGGGTGGTCGAGGTCAAACCTAAGCGACAGAGAGTCACTTCACCGTCTGAAGGGAGTCAGCCCTCTAAAGCTTCAAGAACACACACATCTCCTCGGCTTGATACAGAATGCAAGAAAGAGTCATTGGCTAGATTGAATGATGAAGCTACAAATAAAACAAAGGCGGATAATCCTGTTACAAGCTTGTTAGCAGCATATGAGAGTTCGGATGAGGACTGATAATTTGTGTATGAATCTTTTTTTTTCCCCTTCGTGTAGTTGGAGATTATTCTTTTTCTTTTCTTGGCATAGATAGGAAACAAGTTAAGAACTTAATGGTTGTGTCTTCATATTATCAAATTCCCTTCATTATGTACTTTGGAGAGGTGAGGTGGGAGAGGGGGAAGTGGGTTGGGGTAGCTTCAACTACTTTAAGGCGGTTGTCTTCATGCGAAACTAAATGAGTGTTTGAAAATCTAGAAAATGATTTTCAGATGTCATTTTTTAGATTTTTTTTTGTGTTTGGTCATCAAGAGAAAATTAAGTCAATGGAAAATATTTATTATGGTTAAAGAAAATAATAATCTATTTTTTGTGTAAAATGTCTTTCTAAATTTTTAATCGGAAGATATTATATAATTTTTTTTTTCACGCTTAGTTCTTTCTTTCTCTTGCTCTTTAGAGTGGTGTTAGTCGTTAGACAAATTTTATTTTGAACTGTGGTCTGTGGCAAAATGATGTCGTTTTAAATTTTTTGTTAATAATGGTAGGGCAAATTATATCATGCACCATGGTGCATGATCAATCATGCACCGCACGTCTTTTTTTTTTAAATGAAATTAAACAGTGTTGTTATCCGCCATTTCGCACCCTTTTGCAAAAAGTAACCCTGTTCTTCAGTGTCATTTTGTATACACTGCAGTGTCAGTTCAACACAACTACAGTTTCATTTCGATATAACTATAGTTTCATTCGATATTTATAGACTCAAATATGTGAAAGTGTAACACCCCCATTTTCAATACCAAATTTTCCTTACAATTATACTTTCTTAATTGAAAAATTCACTAATTACATAGCGGAAGCATTAACTAACCAAAAGAAATGGGTGTTACCGCCACGCTCAGGTATCTCTCGTATACCCAAACGCTAAGGCTAATAATACAACTTCAATAAACAACTCAAAATATGTATTAGTACAAAAACAACTAACAATTCAAATGTCTAACTAATACATGATATATCTAGGTGGTTCGCTCATTCTCATGCCCAATGCTCATGCAAGAGTTCCTGCAAAAACAATTAAAGAACAGAAAACAAAGAAACACACAAATTCAGCATTAAGCTTGTAAGATCTACTTCACCCCGTAAAACATATTTGCACATAGCACATAGGAGCAGATAATTGGCATATAGCATACACCCTTTAAACATTTAATCTTTTATTGTCAATAGAGCATAATCATATATAACATAACTCAAATATGAAATACTCAGAATTTTCAACAACCATAATTTCCCAACAATACTCACAATTTTTAATACCAAATCAGTAGTTCTCACAATGGATATTTTAGGAACCTTTCAAAAGTAATATATTTATTCCAACATGGAGGAACACATCCAACAAAATGGGCAGGGTCTTGTTTCATCAAGCCCTAGTGAACAGTAATCACTCTACTGGACACTACACAAAATCCCATTCAATCTCAAATAATGGGCAGGGCCTTAATTATTTAAGCCCTAGTGAACAGTAATTCTCTTTACTGAACACTACTCAAAAATCCCATTTAAACCAACCAAATAATGGGCAGGGTCTTATTCAATAAGCCCTAGTGAACAGTAATAAATCTACTGAACACTACGCAAAAATCCCAATAAAGTGGAACAGAACTAATACCTTAAGTGTGCACACCCCCAATGGGTTTCCAAGCCCAATGGGTAGTAACTAGTCCTAGTAGTCAGGATACGTTTCTACTGACTACTACTCAACAGGGTAAATACCCAAGTGGTAGACTCCGCTAACCACTCCTCAAAACAACAGGACTAAAAGTCCTAGTGAGACAGGATATGTTTCTACTGCTCACTCCACAAAACAACAGAGAGTTTTTAAGCTCCCTAGTTAGTCGGTATATTCAACCGCTCACTCCACAACAAACTGGGTCATAACCCAAGTATCCAGAATTTCACAACAGGATACTACACAAGTCTTAAGAATCAATTTCCTTTATCCTCCATCTTTATAAAAGTGACAACATTACTGACATTTCTCAAGCAAACAAATTCTCAACATCTTAAATAAGGAATTGACAGAAATTTTCAGAAGGCATAACCTGAATTGCAAAATTTATAGAAATATATTGGTAACACATTTTCAGGTGAAATTTTCCAGATACAAGGTACAGTGAGTCTAGATTATACACAAAAAGTTTCAAATCAATCCAAGGTCTAAAAGTATTTTTCCCGAATTATTTCCCAACACTGCGCCAGACAGAAATTGAACTGGCAGCACACGGCCTCCACTTTACGAAATTTTTCTAGAAATATCGAAACATATTTTTAACCCAAACTTTTTACAAACATCAATTATAACAAGTCTAAGTTCTCCATAAAAACATTCAAAGCAAAAACAAGTTTAGGAAGCATTTTTCACGAATTTTTCTTTCCAGCTGCGCCAGTCAGAATTTTCACAGGCAATAATCAGATTGAGTAAAAAAATTTCGTTTTTAATCACCACAAAAATCACCATATCACATATGCAGGGTTTTCAACACATCTAAACTGAGTAAACTCATATATCTATCCACATAATATAATCAAATAACTTACAACACTAAATATCATCAATTTTTTTCAAAATCATGAATCACATAAACAATTAGAAAAATCAATTTTTGATTTGGGGTATAAGGAATTTTAGTGAACATAAATCTTACCCGGGCTAATTAAAAGTTGAAATACTCAGCGCACATCCGAAACACCTATACTCATCGACCCTCGTCTGCGAGCTATAATTGATGATGATGATGATGATGGAGGACCGGACTATGTTGATGAAGGAGGAGACTAACGTTTAATTTGTTTTTATTCTTTCTTCTATTTGGCGAGAAGATGATCGGTGAGAATTGATAGAGGAAAATATTTAGGATAAGAAAAATACATAATCAGATTAGAGTTATAGCAAGATTAGGATTATAGGTATATATGGGATTAGAGTTGTGTAACAGAAAGAAACATATTAAATGGGATTAGGATGATTATGAGGAGGATTAGATTACATACTTATTATATATAGCAAAACAGTGTGTACTAACATATTTAATATATATGTACATCCGTAACACATTAACATATATATCATATGTTTGCATAAATAATATATGTTTATTTATAAGCATAAGTATATATCATTGAAAAATATATTAATTAAATAATTTCAAAAATATTTTTGGGTCACATAAATAATAAAATAATTTAATAGTAGGCTAACATAATTTTGGATCATTCAAATTAATTTTGGAGGGTATTAAATCAACATAATATTATAAAAAATAACGGGGTATCACACGCATGTTAAATGCAAATCATAAATGACTAAATCGATCATGCATTTGTCATTTTATTTGCAAATTATTTCATAAACAAACAAACGCACTTTAAGTTTTGAAATCGCGCATCTTAGACTAATTTGTAACGCATCTTAAATTAACACATAAATAAAGAAAAAAACAAGTGTTAAACATTCTTTCTACAATAAATAAATAGATGAGCCCACTGGTGAAATGGTAGAAGTTTTTGCACATATCAATCACACCTAGGATTGAATATCCCTTTAAGGGGGCGTTTGGTTCAGGTTATATAACATAACCAAGGGAATGTAACATTCCAAAGTTCACATAACAGTGTTTGGTTCATATTATCTTAGGGAATGTAACATTCCCAAGAAATGTCACATTCCTTCCACATAGGATTTTGAAGGGAATGTGTGAAAGTGTTATTTAATTTTATTTTATATACACTATAGTTTCATTAAAACACAACTACATGATCATTTTGATATAATTATAGCTTCATTGTGCAATGTACACTCAAATATGTGAAATGTTATTCAGTTTCATTTTATATACACTACAATTTCATTTCACTATAACTACAGTATCATTTTGATATAACTGTAGTGTCAGTTTAGATATACTGTAGTGTCAGTTGGTGTTTAATACACCAAACAAGCGGACTCCGTTAACTATAACGGCGGGTCGTTTCTTTACTTAAAGAAACGGCGCCGTTTTTTACCGCGGTGCACATGCACCGCGGTCTATGATATAACGACTGTAATGGTAGACAACAAATTCAATTATGGCCCATGTAACATCTTTCATTATTCAGTTTTATTTTATACACATTATAGTTTCATTACAACACTTATAATATCATTTTAACTCAGCTACAGTTTTAGTTGCATTTTATAGACAATATAGTTTCATTACAAGTACCATTAAAATATCAGTTGCATTTTATAGACAATATAATTTCATTACAGTACCATTAAAATATCATTATTATTCAACTATAGTTTTATCTGACAATATATACTCAATATGTGACACCTGTTATTAAATTTCATTTTATACACACTGTAGTTTCTTTACAGCAACACAAAAGTATCACTCTAATTAAACTACAATTTCATTTAACAATATAGATTCAATATTTGAGACGTTATTCAATTTCATTTTATGCACAATGTAGTTTCATTACGACACCACTAAAGTATTATTCTTATTCAATTACAGTTTCATTTGACAATCTACACTCAATATGTGAGACCTATTATTCAATTTCATTTTATATACACTATAGTTTCATCACTAAAAAAAAATTTAGTGTGCAGCAGAACGTAACGACTTTTGTTTTGGTCATGGTCCACTGTATAATGATCGGTGGTGTTATGCGCGGGTTAGCTCTCCATATGTGAATTTGATAGAATAAATCCAATTCGTGTAAGAAATGTGTATAAAAAAATTTATGAGAAGTAGAGAGAAGATCCCCTTATAGAAACTTTTCAAAATCTTCGATGTAGCCGCTGACGAACTTGAGGTCGCGCATCTCGACGTAGCCGTTGCATCTGTGCTGAAAGAAAATGGGTCATAAACCACAAAACTCCAAATTCCAAATCCTTAAGAGCATCGCTGGACCAGGATCGTTGCAACGTTGCCCATCGCCGGACCAGTCTCACCAGTCCGCCGCCTCGCTTGCTGCCGGATGCCAGCTCCACTGTGTTGCCTTGTAAATTTTGTTGCTGCTCTAGACTTTGTTATAGTCAAATTGAAAATATATTTGTTCTATCAAATGGCGTCGTCCGTGGGGAATCGCGACAAAGTGCCGTGTTCCTCAACCATCAAAATGGAGAATTTCTTCGCCCTCAATCCCTCATTTTCTCCCGCGATAATGAAGAAAAGAGGAAAAATTGGGTCATAAACCACATGTTGGGAAATATTCGCAACGTCAACGCGCGGGCTAGAAACCTTCTAAGAAACACGGACACTACGGGTGTATGACTGTAAAGAAGTCTGTGTCGTGTTATAATAACACTACCTTAAAAGCGTTATTTGCCTGGTGACGGTGTAGTCAGAACCCTGACACGCTTTCAAAAGGCTACACAGACCAATTACGCTTAGTCAACACCAACTATAGCATAGGTGAACCTGACTTTGCTAAGATTATGATTTGAAGGGAGGAAAAAAAGTGATTCAAGGTTAATGAACAAAGGAAGGTCCCCTTATATACCAACATTGGCTTCACTTCTTAGCCATCAAAGTCCAAAAACAGCGCTGGACCCCTCATTCTTAATGAATGAGATTCACCCATTTTGAGTGAAAAAAATTACGTACCAACCACATAACATGTAAAAGTTTGGACAAAGAATTGTGTAAACAGTGCGTAACTTTGGACCAACACTTATGAATTTTCCAACAATCCCCCACAAATTCTTGAGGGTTGGCAAGAAAACTTGTCTATGCTGTTTACAAGAAATGACGATCCCCATATATTCAAAGTAGAAGACTTAGAAAGGATAATGTTTGAGCAATACAAACGAGTTGATCTTAATGTCAGTGTTTGAGACCTTGAATTGACACGTAGTGATACTGAGTAATTTTCTTCCCGAGAGTGATATGAATCTTGAACTCACCGGTTAGATAATTTTGAACTCGAATGCACACACCAACTCTATGTAGGTTCTACGAAAGTCAAACTCTTTGACTTCTTATGAATACCCTTAGTATTCAAGTCTGTTATGACTATCTTAATATAGACCTCCACCCTGTCAAAGTCTATCTTAACCTGGACTTTTAACTCTGACAAGTCTTATCGCATTATAGATTTTTATGTCTTGTCAAGTCTATCTCAATATAGACTTTTAACTCTACCAAGTCTATCTCAGTATAGACCACCTTTAGAGGCTTATAGAGTAGTTAAAGACATAAATCAGTTGTAAGTCTTTTCATTCTATCATAGGCACTGTTCTTTGCAATGCAAATGACAGTTTGTGAATCACAATGTATATGTAGTGAAGGTGTTGGACATTCCCACAACTTCATGTTTATCAACATATTTCTTAACCACTCGGTTTCTTGGGATACCCCCATTATTTTTCATAAGGGGCGATTAACCCTTTTTCACTCATGTTAGGGATCTCATTAGGTCTACCTCAAAATAGGCCACCCCAATTGAGTATAAGTCAATAAGAGCACTTTTGTACTCAAGTCATTATGCGGTGAATTCATTAGGTTTATCTCAACAAAACCACCATTCTCACAGAGTTATGAATTCATTAAGAGCTGTAGCTCAGCCTCACAAGTACACACATTGTAGGAATGACCAACTAGTGTACTACTTAGTAATTCTTTTCATGGCTTCGTTTGACCACAAAAGTGGGACCCACCACGAATTCATCACCTCTTGGACTTTAAGTCCTTCCAATGATTCAATGGCTAATCCTCATAATTAGCCTTCAAGTAAGTTGATTATCTTGATCAAACTTACATGCACTTTGACGAGTACTTCGTTTACTCGTAAATAATCCCTTGAGATTTTCATGCTTAACATTAAACATTCTCTTTCATCATTATTTTCAAAACCACAAAGAAACGTTTGGTTAAAGTATAAGGAGTTAATCACCTCCACAATGCAACACTTACAAATATATATTTTTTTTCTCAAAAAGTATTTGATCTCTTACCCAAATTGATCTTTGGTGCCCAACATTAGCTCCTTTGTAGATTGAGTTTTGCCAATTTACTTTGTGGAGCATTATAGTAGCTCCGCACTTTACCTGATACGTACTCAATAGTTGAATATATTTCAACAAACTTGGTTATCTCAACCCATCATAATTACCCTTTAAACATGAATTATAGGTCTTTCAAGATGACTCAGCCAAGAATTTAAATAATATATATACAAATGCACATTGTTAGTAAGTCATAGAGATAATGTTGTCCACATACTACTTCAAGTTGAACAACATAATCACAAATTTCACATCATATTCTTAAAAGAATTTAATCTCATACACAAACAATATGTTCAAACTGACATTTATTAGGAATATATTTCAACACTGTGAATTCAACAAGCATAACTTTAATACTCAAAGTTATTCTACCTGCACAACTTTTCCTTCACTTGAGGAAATTAAAAACTCATTTAAAGCATTCATATGATGCAGATCAATATTACTATTGCAGTACTTCAACAATTTCTATTGCAAGGCTTTGATTGTTTAACAACATATGGAAGTCAACCTCATTTCGAGTGAAGATTAAGTGGTGCTCTAACTAGCCTGCATGATCAATACCCTACTTCGTAAAAAACTTCCAGGTCGAGTGGTGAAACCGAAGTTTACTTAAAAACCATCTTACTAGACAGAGTATTCAAGAAGGATGAGTTTTCCATGTTCTCATTAAATTGCAATTGAAGCCTTTGATATATGCTCTTATTTTTATACAAATAATTTTAGTAAAAAATTTGAGCAATATCTATGCACAAAATTATTTCAATCAATGTCATTAGTATTCAACATACTAAAGAAATGAGTACTATTAAGTAATCAAAAACTAGACAACTCAACTAGTATTCAGACTAAGACAGTCATACTTCATGCGAGCCCTTAGAACTAGAGCAAATTAGAGTTACTCAAAAATCTACTTATTTAAAGAGATGCAATACTCATCTTGCTCTATCAGGTTGACTTCTACTAGTTTTGCCCTTGCGATGGTAGCACTGGTATGCTTGGTGTCCTTGCTTTCCGCACACCAAACATCTTCTTTTGAACTTCTTGACTTTTCCACTCCTTTTATTATAGATATTTCTGACACTTTGATTTACATTATCATTGGCACCGTACTTTTCTGACAGTGATTCCAAATGACTTTTGCTGAGTCTTGTTTGACATAGATGTCAAACAGTATGTCATTCATTTGGGACGAAAGGTATCCTCTGGTTGCCGCATTGTCATTTCTAAACTGCATCAGAGTTACACCAGGTTCTTGACCAGGAATGTATCTATTTCAGGGCTACTTTCTCTCGATTCTTCACCAAGAGTGTAATCAGGTTCATGGCTAGCTTTTCTAGCACCAAGTAGAGGGAACACTACTGGAGTAGGTTCCGGTGCAATTGAATACAACACATAAATCAACTTTAGTTGTTCAACGAGGATATACATTCTTTGAGCCTACCATTTGTAGATTTTCGCATCAAGGACAGTGATCTTGGATAGATCGGGTATGACAGAAGGTGCCATAACGCTAAAAGGTTGACTGTTGTTGAAATAACGCGTTTAACTGTTGGGAAATATTTGCAACATCAACGCGCGGGCTAGAAACTTTTTAAGAAACACGGACACTATGGGTGTATGACTGTAAGGAAGTCTGTGTCATGTTGTAATAACACTGCCTTAAAAACGTTATTTGCCTGGTGACGGTGCAGTCAGAACCCTGGCACGCTTTTGACAGCCTACACAGACCAACTACGCTTAGTCAACACCAACTATACCATAGGTGAACCTGACTTTGCTCATACTATGATTTGAAGGGAGGAAAAGAAGTGATTCAAGGTGTGTCTTAATGAACAAAGGAAGGTCTCCTTATATACCAACATTGGCTTCACTTCTTAGCCATCAAAGTCCAAAAACAGCGCTGGACCACTCATTCTTATTGAATAAGATTCACCCATTTTGAGTGAAAAATTACCAACCACATAACATGTAAAAGTTTGGACAACGAATTATGTAAATAGTGCGTAGCTTTGGACCAACACTCATGAATTTTCCAAAACCACAAAACTCCAAAGTCTAAATTCCTAAGAGCACCGCTGGACCAGGCTCGTTACAACGTTGCCTATCGCCGGATTTAATAGGGATTATTTCTCGGGTATATCTTCTTATACGTTCGGGACATCTAGCCTGTATTCGAGTCATGGTCGAGTGTCTTTTGGGAAATATTTTGTTCGTAAGGGTGAGGCCTCTACCTATATAAAGAAGTCATTCCACACACAATGAGGAAGGAGCCATTCAACACTTAGTGCAATAAAATCATATTTTCTTTCATCTTCTCTCTAACCAAAGCCAATTTTTCACTGCTCATACATTTTATATACACACTGTATACATGGGATCAATTTGTTCTATCAACTGGCGCCGTCCATGGGGATCGAATCCACGACCACGTGGTGATATATAAAAGGGGGGAAGGATCCGGCTTGCTTGCCGATGGAGATACTGAACTGGAGCCCTCAAATGTATAGCCGAAGGGTGATGGGGATGAGGAAGAGGCAGTCCCTCGCAAGAGGAAACAAAAAGATAAGAATGCTCCCCGACCTGCTCGCAAGACACCCAAGACTCGCGGTGCTAAAGCCCGCGCAGCTCAGCTCAAGAAACGAAAAGATAAGAATGCTGGTATTGAAGATGAAGATTTTGTAATCCATAGGCCGATCTTCCATGTTACTAAGGTACAAGTTGTCTTCCCTCCCGACACTGATCTGAGCCTTGGCACTTTGAAGATATTAGATGAAGCTCAATGGGTACCTTTTGAATATGAAGTGATTATCGACGAGCCAGCTGGTAGGTCGCATCGTTGGAAGGGCAAGCCAAAAATCCTCTCATGGTAGTGGATAACCCATGGAACCAGCATAATGTCAACAACATGATGCATCGCTTTTGCATTGCTCAACAAAATAAACGACAATCTGTCAAATGGGTTCCAGTTGACACCATCATCCTGTGGCTCTCAAAATTTAGACAAGTTGGGGATGAAATGGTGCCATATCCAATGATCGCTAGTTGGCGCAGTTGCAATGGCTACCTCAAGTTCGTCCCCGGCTACATCGAAGATTTTGAAAAGTTTCTACAAGGGATCTTCTTCTCTATTTCTCATACATTTTTATACACATTTCTTACACAACTAGTAGTTATTATTTAAATTCAATCGTTATACCGTGCACTAGGCAGGGCCGGCCCTGGGGCAAGGGCAGGCTGGGCCCTTGCCTAGGGCCCATGCTTGGGGGAGGGCCCCATCCTATCTCTTATATATATAGTATATATGTATTGAGTATAAGTAATTTATATACATATGTTTTACAGTAAGGTAAATTAGCTTGGTTGGTAAGATACTTGAATTTTAATAACATTATTTAACGAAAGGCCCGTGATCCAATCCTTTCCTTCACATTTTAGAATTCCTCAACTTTACTTCTTTGCTTATATTCTAATGTATATTTTAAAAATTTATTTTTATTAATTTTTTGTGTTTAATATGGAGTAGTATTTTTAATGTAGTTTTTTAAATATATAAATTTTTATATATTTATACTAAACATATTATGAAAATTTTTTATATTAAATATATAAAGTTTTATATTAAATTTTTAATGCAATTTCTAAATTTATAAATTTTTATATACTTATACTAAACATATTATGAAAAATTGAATAAAAAAACTTCAATCAACTCATGTTAACCAAACAAGACACGTAAAAATAGGACGGAGGGGTTATATGATATATTTTGAGATTCAATTATAAAAAAAAATTAAAAGATAATTTACTCCGTACCTTTTTATGAATATCTAATCAATGCAATATAAAAGCTTTTCTATCATGTGTCATTATATGTATTCAAATTATTCTAAAAAAAGTTTAACATTTATCTATTTAAAATAAAAAGTATTTGTATACAAAACAAAAAAAAATTTATAAAAATCATATAAATAATATAGAAGATGTGTGAATTATAATATGCTTTATGTTCAAACTATTTTATCTAGATAATTATGTTTCATATATTTTTGCATTTTCTATTGCGTTTTGAAATATTTTAATTTCTTGTTCCTAGTCAAAAAAAAAAAAATGATTTTTAGCTTTCCATATGTTTGTAATTATTGTTTTATAAATTTTTAATAATAATTAAGTTATTACTTATTATGATAACAATGTTATTGTTTATAAGTTTACTCGATTTTAAATTATTTATTCATTTTTATAAACTATAATATTATTTATTTATGAAGGCACTTAAACGATTATTTATTATTTTGCATTAAGGAAAGCACCTAGAAATTTTTTTCATGATTATTATTGTTGTATATTTAAAATTGTTAAAAACTTGTAAATCTTATTTAAAGTTATTGATATTAATAATTTTTTCCTTATTTAACTTAAATTTTAGGCATGAGATATATATTAACCGGAGCCCATTTTTTTTATCTTGCCCCGAGCCTATAAAATGATAGGACCGGCCCTGGCACTAGGGCGCACATAGCAATGTGCATGTAACACCCCAAATTTCTAAAACCTTATAATTAAATATTTAACTTAAATAAAGCAACTAAGCATTCACATTAATTTACTAATCATCGAATAAGGGGTGTCACCGCCACAATCACCATACACGGTGACTGCACAGGCTCAAAAGGAACTAACCAGTCATACTTACTACATTAAAGTAAACTTGGAGAAAAGTACCCCGGTGTCTATCACCAACAAAACGAAAGATGTCTACATCCATAATCTCAAAAACAACAGTAATAGATCAAAAAAGTTTAGACTAAATAGCAACTAACTACACTAGTCTAACTCGAGCACTCTCAAGAGCTGGGTCCACCTGAAAGGGGTTTTGCAAATAGCCAAATAGAAAACACCCGTTAGCACGAAGCTAAGTATAACTCCACTCAACCCTGTAAAATACTACAGCATATACTTTGGAAAAACATTTGATTCACATTTCCAAATTAAGCATTCTCAACCACTTAGGCAAAACTTTAATATAATCCACAGAACTTTCTATATGCTTACAACCTATAATATCAAATAGGCAAACTTTACCAATATATAACTTATCGACAGACTCACACTATCACATACTTAACATACCAAATCTCAATCCTATATAACATCACAATAACAATCTCATGCTAACACATAAACTTATCAAGCAATTTCGTGCTATCAATTAATAAGAAATTAATCTCATGCTTTCAAGTTCTCATCATGCAATCTAGAATTATCATGCATCAATATGCAAACTAAGGCAATCATACTCAATATACAATCTCGGGTAATCATTCTCAATATGCAATCTAGTGCAAACATTCTCATTATGCAATAAGATGCTATAAGATAAGTATAGATAGATGTACATATACACTCGTTTGTAAATAGAATACTTTTCTGTGGAGGTTTCTTAGAGCCACAAGGACTCGCTTGCTCTTTCTTTCTTAGAGTCACTATGACTCACTTTCTTAGAGTCACAATGACTCACTTACTTAGAGTCCCAATGACTCGCTTGCTTTACTCGTGGACGAGGTAGGAACTTCACCGTAGCGTGAACGAACTTATTCGGGCACAACGTCTAGCCGGCCTAATACTCATCTCATCCACAGAACCACTCTATTGGTTCTATTCTCAAACTCTGTGAAATCAGGTATCGAACTATCAGCGTGCACACCCCCTGACCAGGATTCCAAGCCTGGCGAGAAGTTTCTAACCTCGTAACGTAGGAATACACCGTGTTACATGTCATCGGATTGCAATGTCCATTACTTTCCTTTCCTCTCCGAAAGGACATAGTCCCAACGGGTCCTCCAAACCTCACTTATATAGATATCATATATATCTCATGCAACTCCTCTACTTATGCAAACTTATGCACGTAACTTCTCAACAAATTCTCAAAGCAACAAGGTAATGACTCTCCACATGTTTATGAGCTTTGGAAAATAATACTTAGGCTCGCGTTGGCCACTTATGCACTTTTAAAACATGATATGTTGAAATGCAAACTATTGTAAAACATACTTCATTTCTATATTACTGTGAACTCTCAAAGAACACTTAGATCATGCTTGAAATTCACAACTTGACAAACACCTTCATCAAACACTTAGCATATAATTATCATGCATTTGGAATTCAAATTGCTCAATTTACACTCATTCACTGGGTAATAACATTTAAGACTAACATGCTCTGTACACTTCAATACATGGAACTTGACAATAATCTCTATGAATCATAATATACACTTTAGGCATGCTTTTCTAACCAAACTTAATCAATTAGTGATCATTCTTGTCAATATATCAATCAAATAACAACATGCTTTTCACATAGACAAAACCAAGTCTGAATACTTCTCAATTTTTTTCACTGGAATATTTTTGTAACACAATTGCTTCAAAAATCCATCACATAATGCTCATTTCTAATCCAAATTCAACGAAATCAAAGTCCAAACGTGCGTCATGACGGCCCCAAGGTTCCGAGCAACAAGGGCCCGCGACTCCCGGTCCGAAACGACACGTAGCTGAGCCACAAGGGCCCGACCACTGCACAGACGAAGCTAGGCGGGGCTTGAGGAGCCCCGCCGCCCAGGACAGCCAGGCGGCGGCCTAGGGCCACAACCTTGCCTAGGGCCGCTCCGTCACGGATCTAGCCAATGGCTCCCCTCGTGGGCCGTTGGCTAGCCCCGTGACTCTAGCTGGTGCACACTGTGTTGTGCACCAGAGACTTCTTCTTCACCTGTAGAGCATTTTCAGACAATTTTCCACTTCCAAATCATCAACAACACATTATACAACATCAACAAGTCATCTAATAGCTCAAACACACAATATTCTAGCATTACTACTCATTTCTACCTATGAAACAGTGACTTCACAGAGTCAAAAAGAGATTGGGAATCCATAGGGTTATACCTTTGTAGCTTTCTTCCTTGAGCTGAGATTCCACCTTCTTCCCAAGTTAGATACCCCCTTCTTCACCTCCTAAACAACTCAAACAAACCAAACAACAACTCACTACAAGACCTCAGAGAATAGACTAGGAGAAAGACTAGAAGGAAGTGGATGAATGGATGGCAAGGGATTGTTGAAATGCTTACTGTGATTTCTCTTGTTTGCAGTTGAAGATTGGGAAGCCAAGAATGGAATCAGGGAAATGGAATAAGCTTACCAATCATTATATAGGGGTGCAAAACCCTAGGAGGATTCCCTATGATTGGTGGGTGGCAAAATGGTAAATAGGACTTGGCAGGAAAATGGCATCAGACATGTTTTGGATGGCTTGTGGTCCACCATACTCCATGGACCATGGGCTAGAATTGATATTTAAGGTAGTTTGGGGTTGAAAGGTAATTTTCCCAAAAATGTTTTCTAGTCAAGCACATGATTTAGGCTTCTTGGATTTCTCCCGGTCTCACTCAGATAGGTTTCTCAGTTTAAAACGTGGTATGCGAAGTACCCGAAAGTCAACCACTGTGTCAGCCATTCGATTTAGCCATCACCCAGTCTTTGTGTTTCCTATCTCAGCCATCACCCCAGCAAACTCAACCACCGTGTCAGCCATTCGGTTCAGCACAGAAGTAATCCTTTTGAGTGATTCATTTGATTGATTGCCCTCCACAGGACCACCACTCTTCTCAGGTATGCTTTCTTCTTTATTGATATCTTCTTCCATTTGAAATCTATCCAGTATCTTTCCCCGTCCAAATCTTCCCGACAATATCTCTACTTTGATTCTTTCTTTTAACTGTCAGTCCAAGCCGTTATTGCAGGTTACTTCTTTTGAATCTTCTCACCTTTGAATTCCGTTTTGTCAAGGTATGTTAATTGTTTTTTAAACAATATCTCCGCTATCCAATACCAGCAGCACAATGAAATCTCTTTTAAACATATATCCGCTATCTCCTCTCCCGACAATAGCCAATGACATTGTATTTGTCACCGGAGAACCTTTAGTTATTCCCCACTATGCTCTCCAATCTGCCAACAATTTTTTATATTCCTCAGGTTCATTCTCAGTAGGAGCCTCAATCACAGGGATTTCCCCTTTTGGAAGGTTCATTGTGTTGTGTACATCATCTACCGACATCTGCATATCATTGTTTTCTATCATCAGTGAGCATTCATTGATATCAAACCTCTCAACAAGATATCTAGTTAGCCTGCTATCCCACTCGAATACTGTCATCTTTAACATCTCACCAAAACCAATATCTTGAACTGCTCTTTGTTGATTTGGTGTTAGTGTGAAATTAGGAACCAAAAATACTTGGGTGATATTCTGGTCGGTAGATAGCCCATCTCATCAATCAGCTTGGGGGGTTGCTATTGCTTTGCGCTTGGGCGTTCTTTTTGTGTGTTCTTCTGCTTCCTGTGCAGTGGGTTCTGGTCCAGATGGCATTGTTGGTTCATGCCTAGTTGGTGTTGGTTCAGGTGTAGATCGTGTGGTGGCTTTACGTTTCTTTGTTGATTTTTTTTGCTGTAGTTGCAAGTTGAGCTGCTATCTGTGCAGTGGGTTTTGGTCCAGATGGCAGTGTTAGTTCACGTGCAGATTTTGTGGTGTCTTTACGTTTCTTTGTTGATTTTTTTGCAGTAGGTGCAGGTTGAGCTGATTCCTGTGCAGTGGGTTCTGGTCCAGATGGCATTGTTGGTTCATGTTCAGTTGGTGTTGGTTCATGTTCAGTTGGTATTGGTTCAGGTGTAGATCGTATGGTGGATTTATCTTTGTTTGTTGATTTTATTGCAGCAGATGCAGGTTGAGCTGGCTGCGTGGGTTCTGCTGCTTGTGAGTCCAAGACAACCTTGGTTTTATGTTGTTTTGTGGCTTTCTTCATATTTAGGTATGGTCTGCAACAATATAACAAGTATTAATGATGACTATAATCAGTTTCATTATATAGAGTTTGATGTTTCATAGACTAACAATTTAAATTCATACATGTTACTCAGTTTCACTCTACATACATTTGCAGTTTCATTTCATAAACACTATAGTATCAGTTTAATTACATTAGAGTGTCAATGCACATTTTATTAAACATAATGTGACACACAAATAAGCAGTTTCAGTTCATATACACTACACTTTCAGTTGAAAGACAATACACTTTCATTTGAAAAATAATATAGTTGCATTTCGTATATATGAGACCACTTACTCTGTATCATTACACATACCTACTCAGTTTCATTTTACACGTTGTAGTTTCATTCTATAAACAATACAGTATCATTTCAATCACAATACAGTTTCATTGAAAATTTTATAGTGCACCACTTATTCAGTTGCATTTAATATACACAACAGTTTCATTTGATAAGAAATACAGTTTCATTTGGAAAACCAGTTTCATATGGAATATCTGGGACTACACAATCTGTATCATTAAACACACTTGACAGTTTCATTTTATACACAAACATCTGGGACCACATAATATGAAAAGACAAACATGTGACTTTTATTTAGTTTTTACAATAATATTATATGTTTTTTGACTGCATGTGTTTTCTCACTGCATGTTTGCGATGCAAAACATGAATGCTTGCTTCGGAATGTCTGAAACAACCTAAAATGTATTGTAGAACACAAGTTTTTCAGGTAAATAGAACATCGGAATGTCTGAAAAAACCTAAAATGAATTGTAGAACACACGTTTTTCAGGTAAATAGAACGTCCATTATATATAACTATGTTATCACCTTTTTGTTGAAGTAACTAACATGAAATGTGCAGTAAACGAAGAAGAACAGCGATGGAGACGAGAGGTAAATCGCGGCTGTTGAAGTCCTAGCTCGGAGATAGCGCCGATGGTAAAGTTGCTTTTGCTTGTTTGGGAAGATAGTGTAGACAAGACATGCATTTTTTGTTTTTATATTTTTTTAAAAAGAAGAAGAAAAAGAAACGACGCGCTGAAATTTCACCGTTCAATGCCATCGAAGCCGTTAAAGAGCACCGTTTCATCTAATTAATGAAACGGCGTCGCATCAGGGCCGCGGTGCATAATCGCAGTCCACGATATAATGACGGATGCTTTGTATACCCGCACCACCCCATACTTTGAATTCGGCCCGAGCGGGTTATTCGGGTGGGTTGGAAATTGCACAACCCTAAGAATGTTCATATGCTTGGTACAATACTCCAAAGCACATTCAGATTTCAGGTACATCCTTCTATAGCTAGGGTTTTTACATTTCACCGATAAAACCCTTGACTTCACCTGCAAATTCCTCATTTTTGAAGGAAGTTTCTGATTTTAATTCTATGAATTTTCTTAGTTTTTTGGAATAGAACAAATTAAGTTCGAAATTGGATATTGCCGTGGATATCACACATCGTTTTGGTGGTGATCACGGTGGAAATTGGTGGCGGTCATGGCGGTTTAACGGAGCAGACAACAATGGCGGATTTCACCACCTCAACTCACCGAGCCAAGTGGATTTTCTCTCCCCAAGATCTCGTAAGTATTTTTTTTTCTCACACCTCAACTCACCGCGCTCCTAAACCTGAAGAAAGATTATCTTAACGAAGTTACAGTATTTATTGTTTCTATTCAATATTTATTTGCAATATGCATATACAGTCTAGGTATTATATGTGTTTATTACTGTTTGTAGAAGGAAAAGTTTAAGGCTGTCAATCAGAGAGCTAAACAGGCATTGGAGAAGGTATGCAAGTGCTTTCTGCTTTATTTGTTGCAAATAGCTACACATATAAATCAATTTTGCTCATAGAACACATTTGCATTTTGTTTGATGCAGTGCTATATGCATTTATTGTGAACATGCCCCTTTATTGATTGTCCTAGCTAAAAGTTTGAGTTCTCTGTAATATTGATACTTTCCTAAAGTTTTTGAGACAAAGAAAAACTTTATTAATGAAGCAGAGATATGGCCTATGGGGACAAAGGAGTCCTCTATTTGAAAGAACGGGAATACTGCATTAGCAACCAAGATAAGCACACCAATAATATTTGCAAATCCTTGAGCACACCCCTGAAAGGCATCAACACCTTTAGCCTTTAGCCTTCCTGCCTTCCCTGCAAATTCATCCCCAGACAGACCAAGGAGGAATGTCTTACATAGTAGAAATTCTCGAACACATTTTATGTGAGATTTTGCTGGCTACATGAAAATTGAAATGCAATCTTAGTAACAGATTAACAAGTAGTATACTTGTAGTTTGAAAGAATAATTTAAGCATACAAATTTGAATGAATTTCCAGGGAAAAATAATTAAAGCAAAACTTGTTTTGAAAGACTTTACTTATTGAAATATGTCTGCTAACTTGCTAAGATGCATGGATATGTTTGATAGATTGGGAGAAGACTCAAAAACTTATGCTTTCTTATGAGCCCATCTCCTGTTTCTGCAACTTGTATCATCTATAGCATTATAACGGGGTGATTCTCACTATGCTGAGTCTGATACATGAAAAGAGTAGGATTCTTTTTGAAAAGCCATTTGGCAGCCCATCTTTTCTGGGTTAATTTTGTGTGTGGGGTGTCTGTGGTCTTTGTGTAATGGCAAAATTATTACTTATATGCTTGTTTGTTCGTTGGCACACCTTTCTTGCACTGTTACATGGCATTCTGATATGATAGAATGCAAAGTAGGACATTGTTTGCAGATGTGAAATTCTTAGATATTTATCCTAGTTAGTACTTTGCAGGAATCACTTAAACGTCTAATGCTGATAAAGGAAAGAAAAAAAATTGATGTTATGTACACTTGACAATTTAATCCAATGAATGAACTGTACTGTAATTTATTTCTATAATATAGTTTTTTTTTTTTTTTTTAATGAGATTTTTTAAAAATATATATAGAAGAAAATTATAAAATAATTTTTAAAAAATGTATATGTTTTGGTGCATATATTTTGCATTTATGTTATTTTATTATATTCAGTTTTAAATCTTATTAATGTTTCCCTTAGAATGATGAAATATTGAAATTGATTATCTTTTCGAAGTATGGAACAACTCGAATGGAAGTAGATGTTGATGGGTCTTTCTCATATGTGGAACCGCCAGCTGGTGCAAAAGAAACCGGTAAGGTTGTTTGCAACAAAAACATATAGCTCCTATCTATTGACTAATCTATTATTTTAATTATTCTTTTGAAACCCCATTTTGATTGGAACTTTAGGTGAGAAGCGTCCAAAACCCCTTAAAGTTGAAGAAGAACAACTTCTGAGAGCTTTTTACGAGTTCAAAATTCAAGATGTATGTGATGCGTTTAAGTTCCCACGCAAAATTCAGGTATGAGGCTTTGGTTAAATTATAGGCATTAGTGGATCAATAATAAATCAGAAAACTTCTGTCTAATTTTCAATTGCTTTGCAGGCTACAGCTCTTATTTACTTTAAAAGATTTTATCTACAATGGTCTGTGATGGAACATCATCCGAAAAATATCATGTAAGATTGCTCCTGTGCTATATCCTCTTCTTCCCTACTATAGAAATTCTTCATGTATTTTATAATGTCTCACAAGGATAAAATTCTCAATGTTATGTTTATCAAGTTGATGTACGGTAGAAATGATGATATGCAATTTTGCAAAGTCTTCAACCTCTGATGAATGTGAGAAGAATCTTGACAGAGGCCTTCCTTTTGCTTATAATTTACAGGTTAACCTGCATATACATTGCTTGCAAAGCAGAAGAGAATCATGTATCAGCTGAGGAGCTTGGTAAGGGGATCGAACAGGATCACCAAGTTATCCTCAACAATGAACTTCTGGTTCTTCAGGCATGGGTGCCGTTTATGCTCATTCTTTCCCACTTTGTTCTCTTTGACTTTTGCTAACAATCAATTGATGTCATTTTTACCTGACTTTGCAGAGTTTAGATTTTGATCTCATTGTTTTTGCTCCTTATCGTGCAGTTGAAGGTTTTGTCAATGATATAGAGGTTTTATGCTGACACATTCTTTAGTTGATTGTTAGTTTCATTCTACAATATGCAAAACTGCTTATATGTTGACATATCTGTTGTCATTTTAGGAGTTCCGTGGAGCTGAAGGTGAGCAACTTGATACACTGAAGGTACTTTCTTAAGATGCAAAAAAAAATTTCTCTTAACAATGACCAGATATTATTTCTTAAGACGGCTGTTAATATGTTTCATTCAACTATTCTCTGGTATTAGTTAATCTACATTTTATTTTTCTTCTCTCCATTTCTGCCCACTCAGTGGCATTGTCATAAAAAGAGTTTGGGCTGAGAAGCTTGTACTCAATATACCCTCTTAGTATTTCTATGTTTCTAATATTTGTTACACTTATGGAAGGCTTTTACAGGTGCTAGTAACTCTCTTAAAAGTCTTGTCATTTTTAATTTGCATAGAGATCCATTTATTTTTTATTGCACTTTTCTTTAAAACTTGCAACTTGAGCAATGAATGGATTTTGTGTGTATAGAGATGCTACTATTAATTTATCCAGTGATAATGGAGCTGTCTTTTGTAAAGAATGCCCTGTTCATATTATGAAGTTTGATATTCTTTCTACTGTTAACATGATAATTTTGCATTTTATTTTCCTTTCTGATATAGAAATTGCTTGAAAGTGCCAAGATAGAAGCAGATAGGACTATGCTTACAGATGCAACCCTTTTATTTCCACCTGGGCAGGTATTATCTCATCAATTTGATCCTACATTTCTCCCTTATTTCTTTCCCTTCGGCTGATATCACCTTTCCTTCTATTCCATTTACTTGAATTAACTATGAGACATAAAGGCTAATAGCTCTGCATTCTTGATGATAAATGTTCCTTATTACTTACTGTATTTAGCCATTAACAGATTTGTCTTCCACTACCTATTGACACTGTCTTCCATTCAATTCTTATCAGTTTTTGGTTGGTTATATCATTTACTTGCTTGCCTTTGTATCATTTGTTCTCTGGATTGGAGTTTTATCGGGGGAGCCTAATATTTGATGTCTGCTTGAGTTCATTTAATGAGATAATAGGCTTGTTGAGGTCTGAAGATATTTTTCTGGCTACAATTTTATAATCATTCTAGATAGATCATATTAATGGATCATATTTCTGTTTGGATTCTTTGGAAACCTAGAAAATATTTTTTGGAAAATGACTCATGTTTTGGAACACATTTTCATTTCCTATTGTTAGGTCAGAAAACTACCTTTTTCTATTTGGCTAAAAGGTAGAAAACCATATTTATTGTTTTTGCCTTCGTGAAGGCAGCAACCAAAAAATTGAGAATACAAAAACCTAAAACTAATTGGAAAAAACGAAAAATTGGAAGTAGAAAACCAGACAAATACATACCCAAAAAAAAAAAAAAAAAAATCCTTGATTTGAAGATAAAAAAGAAAAAAAGAAAAAGGAAGATAAATACATACATGGACTTGGTTGGCTCCAATGAAGAATGAGGCGGTTGCATTGATGGAGGATAGTCCAAGAGACCAAGAGAGCCAAGCATGAGAGAGGGAGACAGAGAGAGCCAAGTGTGAGAGAGGGAGAGAGATAGAGTGAATCGAGTGTGAGAGAGATCTGGAAAATGTCTTTTGAGTAAAAATCTCAAAAAAGATATTTCTGTCAAAATGTGTCTTTTTCCTTTGACTAGAATGGGTATTTTCCGTTGATTTCGTTTTCCTTGGATAGCCAAAAATTGAAAAATCCAGACTGGAAGTCATTTTCCGGGTTTATCATTCATATTATTAATTATTAATTCTTGAAGTCTTTCTGAGGCTATGGTTTGTTTGTTACCATGAGTCCAAACAACTAACTCGGCAATATAACATCAACATACATATAAAGTTTTCTTATATCTTCCCCAGATTTTTTATGATAGCGTAAGATTGTGCACCTGGCTTGACCCTTTTTTTTGGTTGTCTTTTCATTGTTTTTATTTATTGTCTTCTCTGGATGATATTACTTAGAAGTCATTCTTCTTTTTGAAATATGTTTTGGAGCTTTTAATTATGGTACAAGTGTTGTATGGTGTGGCCTTTCATAAATATCACCATGTCATTCTGATGTTGCATTCATAAGTTGGTCTCACAAGTTTTCCTTGTTAATATGCTGGTTTTTTAAATCGCTGGCATCCAAGAAGTGATATTTGGCTGAAGATGTGCAAAGAGAAATAAAGTTCGAAAATGATGAAAAAAAGTACTCCGTAGCATTTTTTAAAACTTTTTAAAGAAACTTTTCTCATGAACTTTTTATGATACTTATTCTTGACCTCTTTTCACATGTGACAATACATTATTCTCTTCATTAAGTGTATAACTTATAATTATTCTTGTCCATTTCACCGTGTTTCTTGTTAACTTTTACTTATTTGTGGCAGTTGGCACTGACAGCGCTTCGTAGAGCTAATGAGAAGCTTCGTGTTTTTGAGTTTGAGAGGTCTGAAGTTTGTGCTAATATAAATCCAACTATTTGTTCATTTGCTCCAATTTCCAATTCTTGACATGTCATAATTGCATCTTATGCAGATACCTTGAAAGAATTTTAGCACGCCAACAACCTACTCATTCCATTTCAGACCTAAGTGGCCTTTTAAAACCTATTGAGTCTTTGGTAAATGCTTGTCATGTTTAGACGTTTAGTTGAATTCAATTTGCATAGGACTTGCTGCTATAATATCTTTAAAGTTTTTCTGTTTAATATTTCTAATCTGAGTGCAATCAGATGGCCCGTTTTAAAATATTTTGTTGACTTGGATATTTAACAGATAAATAAACTTGAGTCCCCTTCGGCCAAAGATGTGAAGCACATTGATCGGAAACTAAAATCGTGCCTGGATCCTGGTCTACATGACAAGTACATTTCATATCCTCTCTCTCTCTCTCTCTCTCTTCAAGACATTCGAATTCCCTGCACATAATTATGCCATTTCGAAAATGCAGAAGTAAGAAGAGGAAGCACAGATCAAAAGATAGTTCAAATGAAGTGCATGACATGGCTTGAGTTATTCATACGAAATTCATATTCTTGTGTGGAATGACTATTTGTTGCTGCTCTTCATCAGTTAATTTACTAATTAGTCCTGAGATTCATGGTGTACGGAACAAAGACCCGATTTTGGAACTTCCCAATTTCCTTTGCCCCCTTTTGTGGGTGAGTCAAGTAGACTATATATGTCATATAATTGGAGTCTATGCACACCTAAGTTGATGTTGCGATGAAGCACAAATCCTTTCTCTTGTACTCAAGACAGTAGAGCGGCTGATTGCCGAGGAACAGGTTTCTACTCTGTGAAGATGCTCAATGCAGCCAGCTCAAAGAAGCGATCTTGATTGTGAAAGATCTCGATTTTGTTCTTCGCTGTGAATCGGAGGAATGCTGACCCATTCTTGAAAAAGAACTGCAAAACTGGATGTTATTGTTGGTTGTTCCTCGTTATTATGTTGTGTGATTTTAATTTGACTGTGATAGTGAAGTACAGTTTATCTGATTGTAAACATTGACATATCTTTCTATATTTTCGGTGCACACAATTCTTCATATGCATCAATTATAGTTATGTAACGAATGATTCTATGACAATAGCAATGTGGACTTTGGTCTATAATTTTTTTTGACTTGTTATTTTTTTTATAAATAAAATTAATAAATAAAGGGTATATGAGTATATCATTAAACAATTTTTATTAAGATCTGGACAATTTTTAAAAAACAAATCTATACATATACAAGTTATTATTTTAGGTATATATAAATTTGGTTCATAAAAGTCACTATTGTAAGTATATAAATTCACTATTGTAGGTACATTAATTTATTATGTAGGTAATTAAATTCACTATTGTAACCCTATAATTTGCTACTGCCAGCATATAAATTCACTACTATATATCAGGGTTGTAAAAATCGCGTCTAGGCGCTAGGAGGCCGCCGCGAGGAATGGTCCACTAATTTCTCAAAAAAAATGCTTCTTTAGCTCTTAATTTTAGTTTTTTATGTATTTAGATGGTTTTACAACCACTTTTGAACAATTTTACAACCATTTTTGTAAATAGTTTCTAATAAATAACTATGAAAACTTTATGTTTTAGTACTAAATTTTGAAAATTTTTAATTTTTAATTTTTTTTTAATTAAAAAAAAAAAAAATCGGCGCCCTAGGCGCTAGGCGCCCCCTTGGCGCCTAAGGGGTGCCTAACGTTTTTTGCAACATTGCTATATATATATACATAAATTCGATAATGTACATAAATTTCCTACTGTAGGGTACATAAATTCACTATTATAAGTATATAGATTTACTACTGCCGTTTTTATGTATTTTTAGTATTATTTTTATATACCTACAATATTATTTTAGGAGTAAGGGTCAAATTAATCACTGAACGAAATATGAGAATGCAATTTGTTTTTATGTATTTGTAGTATTATTTTTATATACCTACAATATTATTTTAGGAGTAAGGGTCAAATTAACCCCTGAACGAAATATGAAAATGCAATTTGGTCACTGGACTAAAAAAAATGTACTTACTACCCCTCAACTAGCAATCTCACTATACATAGCCGGTAGACTGTCTTCCCAATTGGTTGCCTAGCTTATGTGGACTCTTGTCAAGCGCCTTGTGCTCAGATGACACTTCTGTGGCTCCCCTTGAGGGAAGGTGATCACAAGATTGAACCTCGGTGGTGGGGTATTGACTCTTTGAGCTGCAATAGTTAGAGAAAGTATAGAACAAATACTACCTTATAATAGAGTTTTTTTTTTTTGAAAAATATATGGTGCTTCATTAAAAATAAACCGAAAGAATGTCTAGTGGGAGCAGATCCCAATACATAGCAGCAGATTGCTGGTAAGCCGTAGTTGCTAAAGCATGAGTTAAATAATTATCTAATCTAGGAATTAAATGGAACGAACAAGACTGAAATAAAGATGCAGTAAGTCTGCAGCTGTCAATGGCATAGCCTAAGTATGTGCGCAGCACAACGGTTGGTGTAGTAAGATAGTGATGTAGTGCCAAACAGTCCGTATATATCTCGACATTCTGTTCTCCCCGATCCTTCAACCATGATAGAGCCTCTTTACATGCGAGCGCCTCGGCCATAAGTGGCGAGGAGCATCCTCGTAGCGGTCCGCTGCATGCCGAGACGTAGCCTCCGTTCGTATCTAGTAAGACCGCCCCAAATGCAGCTTGGGCCGTCTCTTGCATAAATCCCCCATCCACACGGCATAGCCTCCTCGGCGGACCATGCGACGTCTCGGCAGTGTGCAACTCGACGCCATGCAGCCCGGATCCCCCTTGCGGTTGAACCGTCCCGGATGGCAGCATAGCAGTTTGGGGCGTGGGCAGTGGGTGCGCCCGCGTCCACACTAAACCGGTAGCAGCTGCGGCCTTGAGTACCGACTCGGGGCGCGGTAACGTTGCCTCCCAGACCGCCCTGTTCCTTGCTCTCCAAACATTGTAAAGAATTGCTGCTGCATATAACATTCCATCAGAGTCTAGAACATTTAAGAGTTCACCAAACCAATCATGAAAAACATTTGTGACTATATTGGGGATCATGAGGTTAGATTTTTCCCAAATGTTTCTTGCATAATCACACAACACTAAAGCATGCATTGTGTCCTCTTGAGATATTCCACACATGGCACATTGTGGACCCACATCCACCCTCTTTATAAGCAAGTTTGTAGTGGTAGGCAATATATCACTAATGGCTCTCCAAAGAAACATTTTCCATTTTGGTGGGATTTTGAGCTTCCATAGATGCAGCCATTTCGTAAATATCCCATTATTTCCTTGATAATTTCCTACTATTAGCTGGTATCCACTCTTAACAGAATACTCCCCTCTTGGGTCCCCATACCAGTACCAGGTATCATCATAATCCAGTGAGATGGGTATTTTCAAAATCTCTGTTACATCACTAGGCTGAAATAGATCAGTTAAAATTGAGGGGTCCCAATTACCAGTTTGTTGATCAATCAAACCTGAGACCCTGGCTCCTTGCAACTGTAATGGCATTTCTGTCTGTATCATAGGGTCGTGATCATCCTGTAACCAGGGGTGGGTCCATATGAGTGTAGATTCCCCGTTACCAATTCTGCGCCTTACCCCACCACAAACTATACTCTTTGCTGCCATGATACTCCGCCAGTAGAAACTGGGATTGTTTCCTACTTGTGCATCAAAAAAAGATCCTCTTGGAAAATAACGGGCCTTATACACACGCGCCACCAGGGACTCAGGTTTAGTCAACATTCGCCACACCTGTTTCCCTAGCATTGCTAGATTAAAAGCACGCAAATCTTTAAAACCCAACCCCCATATTTCTTAGGGATACACAACTTGTCCCATGCCTTCCAATGTATTCGCCTGTCAGTTCCAGAGTCCCACCAATACCGATTCATAATTCTCTCTATCGCCGTACACACAGATATAGGTAGCAAAAAAACACTCATTGAAAACGTAGGCATAGATTGTGCTACAGTTTTCAAAAGAATTTCCTTACCCGCCTGCGAGAGCAGTTTTTTATTCCATGACCCAATCCTTTGACGGATTTTATCCTCAACATACGCAAAAATTGCCTTTTTGTGTCTTCCAACAAAAGAGGGGAGTCCCAAATACTTGCAAAAATTCAGAGCCTGTGTCACTCCCAAAATCTGAGCCACATTTTCCCTATCAACATTACTTGTATTTTTAGTGTAACATATACTCGACTTATGATAGTTAACTGCCTGCCCAGACAAATCCTCGTACACAGATAGGCACCTTTTAACCTCAACTGCTTCCTCCACATTGGCTTTAAAAAACAAAAGACTATCATCCGCAAAGAATAAATGAGAGATTGGGGGGCCCCTCTCGCTACCCTGCATCCATGTAATGATCCCACAGTATGTGCCTGCTGTAATAATAAAGATAGTCCTTCTGCACATATAATAAATAGATACGGGGATAAAGGATCCCCTTGCCTTAATCCACGAGTGGGTATAATAGGATCACATCTTAAGCCATTCACCTGAATATTATAGGATACTGTGGTGACACATTTCATAATCAATTCGACCCAACCACCATGAAAACCCAACGCCAGCATCATCTTACGGAGGAAAGACCATTCCACCCGATCATATGCCTTTGCCATGTCCAGTTTGAGAGCACTCCATCCCCCCACCCCACACTGCTTTCTATTCAGAAAATGGCCCACCTCCGCAGCTAATAGTATATTATCCGTTATCAGTCTATCCGGGATAAAAGCACTTTGTGACTCAGATATTATTCCCTCCATCAATGGCTTCATTCTGTTAGCCAACATCTTTGCCATAACTCTATAGACCACATTACTGAGAGCTATAGGGCGCAAATCAGTTACAAACTCAGGGGTGTTCTTCTTAGGGATAAAAACAATATCGGTTTTAGTCAACCCGGGCGGGAAATCACAGGACTCTACACAATTTATTATAAAACTCGCCACATCCCCCCTACCACATCCCAAAAATGCTGATAGAAGCTCGGATTCATTCCATCCTGGCCTGGTGCCTTATCCGGGAACGTTACAAACAATGCACCCTTAACTTCCTCCAATTCAAAAGGCCGCAGCAAAGACTCATTCTGTGCCTGTGTGACTCGCGGAGCAATCCCCTAAAAAAACCCCTCCCCGGTTCCCGAGATTCCAGCACAAAAAATACGATTATAATATTGCAAGATAATATTTTTCATAGGTTCCCCCTCCACCCAAACCCCATCATCATTCATCAATCTAGAAATAGTATTCTTCTTTTTTCGGTGAGAGGCATACCTGTGAAAAAACTTCGTATTAGCATCCGCCTCCTTAAGCCAGTGCTGCTTGGCTCTCTGCCTCCAATAGGCATCCTCCTGAGCTTCAGTGCAGCTTAACAGCTGTTCTAGGCGCTGGCACTCTGCAAGCGAGGCCGGGTCAGTACGCTTTATTCTTAATCACACAAATATTTGAAAAATTTTACATTTTAATATGTACTCTTTTTTGTCAAACCAAAATAATCCTTTTAATAATGGTTTTTGACAGGTAAGTCCAATGAATGATTTTAATCAACGGCATGTGCATATATGACCCATTTTATAATTCTTATAATTCGGGTTGGAAAAATCACTCTAATTTTTGGGATGATAATCGAAATGATTTTCAACCAAATCATCCTAGTGATTTTCAACCAAGTCATCCCAATTTTTATTGTGATTATAATAAAAATAATTTTCAATTCACTCATCTTAATTTTTGGGATAATGATCAAAAAGATTTTCAACTTAGTCATCTTAATTTTTATTGGGGTAATAGTCAAAATGATTTTCAACCAGTTGAGTCACCCCAACTTAAAAAACCATCGTTGGAAGATATCCTGCAGGAGTACATACAGGCCACCAAGAAGCAACAAGAAGCAAATGATATATATATTGTCAAGAATTGACCTAGCTACCACATGTGATTAAAAAAAATGGAACTAAAATAAGTAATTGCACGTCAAGATGATAATATTAAAAAGTAAATTTAAAATGAGAACATTTTGCATCACTCTTAATATAGAATTCTCTTAGCTTAATGATTAAATACTAAAAATCCAATAAAATAA